GATACAGTCCGCTACAAGTGTCATTATAAATGTTGAAATGTCTAAAAGTTTAATAGCTCGACGTATAAAGCCCACTTATACATGATGAATGAGAATTAAATAAATTTTTACCAAACCCTATAGTAACTGTGGTTGTAGGACCGACCCTCAGCTACCTACCGGGTCGCAGTTGGTAGATAGAGAAACAGCTGTGAATGTAGGGAAACCTTTATAAGCAGTCCCGGACCGAGGCGGTAGGGTTATCAGGATGCGAGCGGGATGCTGGTGGCGCAGGCATTGTCATAAAAAATCCTAAAACGACTCTATGCCATGGCGAGTTGGTATCGCCATCAAATTAGTGCTAGGCACTGGCTGGCAGCCTGCCAGCTTTCATGAGGGCGGACCTCGAGTGGAGGAGTACGGCCGAAGGAAGGAAATATCAAGTGACGACAGTATCTGACACAACCCGTTGTAGGACTGCGATTACCAACCCGTTGTGTCTGGCGTGGTGATAATTGCTAAAACTCTTCCACATTGAAATAAAAATGAAAGGAACAAACAACTATCGACCCCGAGTTCCCAGCGCTTTATCACTCCCAGGTTCCAGCACTGGCCAGGTGACACAGAGGAGGGGTGCAACAAGGAATTCCTGGGAGATGACAAACTGCAAAACACTACTAAACATAGCCACATTTAATGCACAGACATTGTTACATTAAAATTTTTGCGGGCCGCAACTGAATGCATGTCGCATGGGAGCGACATAAATGGAGAGATATGGAGGAAGTCTATATCCGAAGACGGATGGAGTAGAGGTTGCTTGTAATTATTAAGACCAATATAATAATAATTATCAATGTCAAGCAATTAAGTATTACAAATAACGTGACCATACGTCTCGCTTTGAGCGGGACAGTCCCGTTTTTAAGTGTCGTGTCCTACTGTTCTCAAAACACTTAAAAATGTCCCGCCTTGACAAAACACGATACACGTGTCAATAAATTTAGAAAATAGCGCGAAAACTTAGCAGCAAGTAAGCCTTCTCGCCCGCGAGTTTTAGTTTTGTGTCCGTATATTGCGCGTGCATTGTTTTTGGCGAGAATTAATCGGTGGCATAATGACTTGTCGCGTTGCCGTGGCTAGGGCGGATTTAAAAATTAAACCTGGGGGTCGATTCAGAACCTTACGATAACTCAGTTATCGATATCGCACGATTTTTTTTTCATTTTTATTCACAACACCCGAATCGAACGTCAAACCGAAACGAAATGACGTCACACCCGTACGATAACTCGAACATCTCGATCGGCAAAGGCTACAAATGGTATTCAGAACACGTTATCAAATAAAAGTTACCGAACGTCCTGTTGTTTACAAAGCAAGAATGTAATATATGTCTTATTATTTTAAATAACTCCTGGATTTTGTTCAATTTTAGTAATTTTTTCTAATGCACGGCTAATGTATTCCTATATTTTAGGCCTTTAAAGTCTAAAAAAATATATATAAAATTATTTTCTTTTTTCTTATAATCTATTTCACCGACTAACTCCGTAAACGCCGTTGGATAATGATATCGTATCCGAATCCAAATCGAACATTTAACTCGGATGTTCAGAATAGATCGGATTGCACCCTTCGATTTGAGAACGATATCCAATCGAACGAAGTGTTCTGAATCGGGGTCCTGACAAATTAAAGCAAATTTGTAAAAAATAAGTCAGCCCACCAGACTACACAACATTAGGTAGTTCTTTTAATTTTTTTTAATGTTAAACATTTTTAGTTTTTTTTTTTAATAATAATGACTTAAACATTTCGTATCTATCAAAACATATATGTTTTATCATGAAAACAATAATAAATTTACAGACGTCCCGCTCTGACGGAAAAAAAGAATGGTTACGTTAATACAATTATATCAAGTACAAATTTTACGTCAACATTTTGAAATTGAATTTGAAAATATTTAATCGTTCAGATAAAATGTCGTTAAACTCAGAAAACACTTTTAGTGTTTACCACACCATCTAACTGATGCTTTATAAAAATTAACGAGTTTCGCACTCCCTGCGTAAATACGCGGTTGCCATGTTTGGCGCGGCGTTAAACATGTTAATGTAATTACATACCATCACTATCGACCTCCTGAAGCATGTCCTGAAGTTCCTCAACCCTCGCGAATTGTCCAAGGCTTCGCATAACACGACCGAGCTCCTCTTTAGTAATTGTTCCATCGCCGTCTTTGTCGAATAAACGAAAAGCTTCGCGGAATTCTGTTAACAAAAAGCCATTTATTAATGCTTACAATGGACTAGGCATTGTGTAAGTGTGATGAAAATTGAAACGACAATTTGAAAAAAAAACTACTCCTGTACTTTAATTATTATCCTGTACTATAATAATTTTTCATCCTAATATTTCTTGTTTTTGTAATATCAAGTGACAGGACGAACATTTCGTGCGCCTGATGGTAAGCTACACACCTGTCCATTACAGTTGCAGTGGCATTCAGAGCTTTAAATCGCAAAGATTTGAGGGGCACTACCACTGCGTTAGTCACCCTGAGACATAAGTTGACAAGTCCCACGTGCTTGTAATTTCACCAGCACCCTTACCCTTCAAAACAGTAACCTAGTAATGCTGACATTATTGCTTGGCGGCAGAAATAGGTAAGGTGGCAGTACTTCCCCGGACGAACCTTTTCACAAGGAGCTCTACTGCTACTAAAATATTAATAATATATTACATGATTACACATTAAGCTATTTCCGCAGATATGTCTGGTCCAGTTTTTAAGTAATGGCGTTCCGTCCACGGCGACGCAAACAGGAAGTAGATTAGACGAAGACCTTGTAGGTCATATCTGATTACTTTATTTTATTTTACTTCTACATTTTATTCCAGTTTATTATGATTAGTGTGATGTATGCCACATTTTTTATGTAATAATTTTTATCCATAAGTTATACATTATTTACATTTCTGAATAAATTATTTGGTAACGTTTTAATGTCCTTTGGTAGAGCAATAAATTCAGACATACCGTTGAATTGATTTTTGTAGTAAGAATTGATGTTTGTAGTAGAGAAGAAGAAGATCTAGGTTCAAACTCAAATTAAAAATATTTTTATTTCTTAGATAACCAAATAACATTTGAAATCGTCAAATTGATTACAATGACAACAACAATCACTCATTGGTTTTTGTCAAAAAGTAAATAAAAAATAAAATAAAATAATTTAACACTTAGATATTGTCATTACTGTTACTGCTATACAAGTTTTAAATGGGTACGTCAAGTGTCCGCTGGAGATGAGTTCCAAGCATCTTTATCCTGAATATAATCAGTAACACTATATTTTTAATATAGTTTTTAAATTTCTTCTCTGACAGTTGAGTTACCTTGTGTTTTATTAAAAAAGCGCATACAGGTTATTATTGTAAATCAGTCTATTTGGGTTCCTTATACTTCTATTACGTTACATCTGTAATTTTTTTAAGAAGTTGCTTATGGAACCCTAAAAAATGTGATAACTGTATTTGTATACGAGTAAATCAAGATATTTTCAATGTTTCCAGATAAGAGTAGAAAACAGTAATGTATAAACAATGAAGCAGCTTGTTACCTCGATTTTTTATTTTATTAAGTATAAAAGCTGTATTGCTCACTTCCGTGAAGATTGGGTACTGGACGCTCGAAGTTGTAGACGATTATATCTACCTGTTGTGGCTTGGTGCGAAGTGTATAAAGTAATAGGGACTTTGGCACTTCTTGTACCAAACCATAGACGAATTGTCCATGCTACAAGGTAGGTTCAACTTCGAGAAAGAGGTAATTTGTCATATTCTATTCTTCTGGGGAAGTGTCAGAACTACGTTTTCCTCCCCTTTACCAGTGTCTCAAGGCGTAAGTCTTTGTGAAAACCAAGACGCGGTCGCTCACTATAGGCCTCATAAGAAGGCTCATCTAAAGGATAATGGAGAAGGCTGCGATCGAATCTGGAATGAGATCTGCAAACGAACCAGAGCAACCCACATAGGCCAAAAAGTGGACGGAGCACATTGCCCGCAGAACAATTGGCGGATGTGGCCGAATAGTTGTCGAGGAAAACGCTGCGTGGAAGACCACCCACAAGGACAACCAACGACTTGATGAAGCAACGCAACACCGGTAGTAGTGGCGATCTTTGTGGGAGTATGTCCTGTCTATATCATGATGATGATTATATATAAAGGCAGCTTCAAAAACAATTGCTTTACCTTTCATTTGTGTCCGGGTGATGCCAGAAGTCTCATCCACTATGGAGGCCTTTCGATCCAGGGTGGTGTCGGCAGCTGGTTTTAAAAACGTGACTTGCCGCTGTGCTACTACCGATGTTGTTGATCGGTCGGACACCACACTGCACAGGCAAAAACAGTTTCTGCATAAATTACTTACAAAAGCATTTAATTTCATACATGTTCCCATGTTGGAATATCTTGGATGTTGTACACGATATGCCCCTTTTATTACAGCAAATGAAAATACAACCAAGTTTTGCAGGAAAATACACTGGGTTTTCATTTGTTTGCTCGAGTCTTCCCTCCTTTTTTTTATCTAATCAATGATTTTACGCACTCCTATCAATCTTATTTAGAGTTATATACTTACCTCAAGTAAAAATCAATTTTTTGATAATACTTTAGTTGATAAGTTCTTTTATCTATAAGTATCGTCCATTATCACTTACAATCTTAACAATTTACTTATATAAATATCTCAAAAAATCCAGTATTATACATTTGCTAAACAACCATTACGTGTATTTTTTTTTTGTATATAAAATAAATAAATGCTCATTTGACCTACATCTCACCTGGTGGAAAGTAATGATGAGGGACGATGTAGGCATAAGTTTTAACATTCAGGGAATAAGTCTGTAGTTGGCAGGAAATTCCACTCCATAGCCGTTCGCCAAATATAACTGGAAGCGTACGCTTCGTGCGAATCTTTGGACTATCCGCAACATAGGGGTGGAACCCAATATATATAGGTATACATACAGTATTGTAACAACAAGTGTTTGAAATAGTGGAACATCCCCTAGCGACCTTTTTGTTAGAAAATAGCCGGGCTATTCATTGTTCGCTCCACTCGGTCGCAGCCAATCGGGCCGGCAAACAGAATTATTTAATTGAATTCTATTGTAAATGGCATTTCATACATTTTTCAGTATTTTTAATGCTGACCTTTGATATGAATTTATTGCATGTAAATCAAAATGTACATTATATACATGTGAAGTGATTCAGAACAAAGACAATATTATTCCAATGACCATGTAAACGCCTAGTGCAGTCTAGTTTGACGACCTCCATGGTCGAGTGGCTTGCATACCGGTTATCATGGTGTCGCCATTTCTGAGGTTCCGGGTTCGATCCTCGACCGGGTCAATGTAGAAACTAATTTTTCTATATTTTCTCGGGTCTGGGTGTTTGTGGTACCGTCGTTGTTTCCGATTTGCATAACACAAGGGCGTCAGCTACTTACTTTGGGATCAGAGCAATGTATGTGACATTGTCAAATATAAAAAAAAACAGATAAATTCCTAAGATCTGCTGACTCGCTTTGTAGCTCAGTTATTAAGAGCGGTAGTCACGATCGAGTCCAGTCTCATCGAAGGAATTTGTCTTTGTTAGATCTTTAAAATATCGCATTCAAATTTCCTATATTCTACATCACCATAAGGGTATCTAGAAACATAAGTTTTTCATATAAAATTGAGGGCATAGTCTTTTGAGCCTGAAGTATGTCCATTATAATTAGCCTACATTGAGTGCTTAGCGCTTTTCCCATTGTAGTCTTAGGAGACTATACTTATGTAACATTTGATCAATTATCTGAACTCGAAAACTTGCAGCTACTTCCGCCGAGTTCCGACAAAAGGCAACCAAAGAGGAAACATTGATAAGCACAGAATTTGTAATTCCGCATCTACAGGTCACGGTGCCCCGGGCGCGGCCGACTCTCGAAGAAATTTTATACCTTTTGCTAGTTAAAGTTAAAGTTCCTTTTTTATTTTGTTTCCCGCCCTCTTTCGAATGGGTCTAATAACTGATTCACAATATTGAAAGTCGCATCATCGATGATCTAGGCATTGAATACGTTACGTCGACTGGTTCAAATAGAGGCGAGTAATGAGTTAGAGCCTTTGTCCATGCGTGTTTGCATGTCTGCATTATACATTCCAAACGGTTGACCGGATCTCAAAACAGGTTTTTTTTAGTTTCAACGAGTGACTCTTAGATATATTTGACGAACGCCTGCTCAGCTATTTAGAGATCATTAGCTCTTTTCCCAGTTAATGTAGTGGTCTCAAACTTACAATGTAAATGGGAAGTCATACATTTTTAATTTAAAGCTGTGTTTATCAATACAGTAACTCATTGATACGTTCCACTGCTGGACATGGGTCTCCTCTAAGGCGAGGGTTTAGGCCATAGTTTCCCAAAGTGGTAATTACCAGTCGGCGCCGAAGAGTCCTAAAGGTAGAGCGGTAGATGCCCCAGAAACAATTAAGGGGTGTCGACGCTGTCCAGGGGATGCTACCGCATTTGAACTATTTATACAAACTACAGTACATATATTGTATATAATTTTTTCCTTGTAAAAAAAATATGTGTTAGCAATTATTTTTTGTGGCGTTAAAAATTTTTTTATCTTGCCAAGTGGGCGATTAGTCAAAAGTTTGGGAACTCCACGCAGGTCCAATGCGGGTTGGGGACATCTCACGTTTCCCGAGGGTCCTTCTTCGACGTGCAGGTTTCATTACGATGTTTCCCTTCACCGAAGAGTTCATTTCTAATTAAATTGCGCAAATAAATTCCGAGAAACTCAGAGGTGCGAGCCCGGATTTGAACCCAGGACCCTTTGCTTCCGAGGTAATTCAAACCTGGTGGTTTGAACTATCTCAAAGGCTACAACAGCTTCAATAGGGTTAGCACGATAAGACGCGACTTCCGCGAGAGCGACATAAAGTGCGAAATCTTTATGCGAGAACAGCAGTATATCGCGCTTTTTGTCGCTTTCGCGCTTGTCGCACCCTATCGTGCTAGCCCTACAGACTATAGCTTTAAAAAAATGTTTGCGTAATCATTGATCAACGTCATCATGATGAGATTGTCGTGAACGACAGCGAGATAGATGATATTTTAAATAAATTCAATCGAAAACACAACGAAGCCTTTCTAATCTTTATACATTATTTTTTATATTCGAACGACCTCATAAAAGAAATGAAAAAAAGGTAGTACTTAAGAGAAAAAATTCCTTTATAAAGTTTTAGTAGCCATTGTACGTTTCGCAGAATGAGAAAGCGTTCCTGGATCTCATTAATATTTGAAGAAGTGAAACTTGTGGTTTATCTTTGCTGGGGCATTAATAATACATGATATTACTAACTCGGACGAAAAAAGTACAATCAGTGAATAAAGAATGTTAAACTGTATGTACTTAGATCATACGGCTTGTGAAGTATTGATTGTCGCCTACCCTCGCATTTGAAATGTTTTATTTATTACGACTCAGTTTGACATAAAGCGGATAGGCTGCAAAAATAAAACGTGCCTTTTGGAGAAAGTGATTTTAGTTTTGTTTTACAACTTCAAGCGGTGGAACGACCGACCAACTCGTGCGCCTATTGGACAGCGACACGCCTACCCATAACAGTTGCAATGCCACACAGAGCTTTAAATGGCAAAGATGTGAGTGACACTACCACTGCGCCCAACGCCAGTAGACGTAAAGTTGACAAGTCCTATGTGCCTGTAATTTCAACAGTACCCTTATCTCAAAACAGTATATAAGTGATGGGACGAACAAGTTGTGCGCGTGGAGGTAAGCGACATGCCTGTCCATAGCAGTTGTTGTGCTACTCATAGCTTTAAATAGCAAAGATCTGAGGGGCATGCACTGCCACTGTGCCCGTTACCCCGAGACATATGTAAGTTGACAACATGAGTCTGTATTTTCGCTAGCCCCCTTATTCTTCAAAACTGGAACGTTCACATTCGTTCACATTACTGCTTGGCGGCAGAAATAGGTAAGGTAGCCGTACTTCCCTGGATGAACTCTTGCACAAGGAGCTCTACTGCTACCAAAACTAACTGCTACTAATATTACTAAACCGGAATAAACGCGATGAACAATTTAACACGGTCAGTCTTCTTCTTATCATGTATTTGTTTTTATTTTCTTTTATTTTAATAACAATAACCCCGCATAGCACTCATAGCCCCGCACTAGGGAAAACCTGTATCGCGGGTACCATGGACACACACAGCGACAACCACAAATTACATCCAAACTCATGAGAGAAATAAATGTAGGCCATGCAAATACTTCTCCCGGCCCCGAAATTGAACCCGGGACCTCTACGTGGCAGTCCAGCATGGCTAGGACTATATTGACATTGAATAGTAAAGTTGCCACCTTGGCTACGTTATCATACAGGTATTAGGGCACAAGGGGCACAACAACAAGTGCTGCATGGACTGTGTTGGGGCACCGTAGTGACATTGGGTTAGACTTGAAAAGGTTGTAACCCCAGGTTCACGGCAATGAAATAAAGGGCCACAGAAATTTATTGTAAAGTTGATGGTAAAGAAAATAAAAGGCTGTAATAAGACAAGAAAAGGTATATAAAAATAGGTACAACAGTATAAAACTCTCCCTTACTATGGATTAACATAAACAGTAAAATTATCACTTACCCCAACAGGGCCGAGTTATGCGGTATTACAGATTGGTATTAAAATTGGAAACAGATCGTAACCTGTTCAGTGACCATGGCCAGTACAACCTGTCTGGAAAGTCGGGATAATAAATCTGAGCAATTTTTATTATTTAAATATTCAAGCGTATATTTCAGGATACAATACATGAATATTAAATAATATTGCTGAATAAAATCCAGTACTTAATTAATAAAAATTGCCACGGAAATTACCTACTGAACACTAGTCCGAAAATGACCGAATACGGGTGCCCGTTTTAACGTTTTAAAAGGACTGAATAATAATTAAACTATTAGTTGCGATTATTGCTATTAAATATCATTCATACTCGTTATTTTTCATGCCTTATAATTTTACTGTGGAGTATATATAAACTTGCAATGAAAAAATGCACCTATGTACTTATGTGGCTTACGATTAGAAGTGGGCGATTAAACGAAAAGCATTTTAAAAAGTTTGCTTTTTAAAAAAGGCACACAAGCCTTTCAATTTAATCATAAGCGTTGGTCAGTTCAATACTCAACAATTTGATTTTTTACAACGTGGTTTTATATTTCAAGTCCCACCATCTATATTTCCTAAATTAATTCGTCAATGTCAATAATAATTTAATTAATAAAAATAAAACTCTTGTTTTACAAATAAACTTACTTATCTAAAAAAATTTAGTGGTCTACTTTTGCTTTACGCTATCAACACAACATTATAAGTGATTTTTTTGACATAAAAGTCTATGCGCTTAAACGATTTTGGAAGCTTCAAACTGAAAAACGTTTAGAAAAGCACGGTTTTTGAAAATAAAAACCACAAAGTTTTAACGTTTAATAAAATAAGCAGTTTTTCCCATCTCTACTTACGATAGATTACGTAGGAGTTGCAATAGCTGTTAGAGACTCACCATATTTATTAAGGCGGAACTCTCAAAAAGAAAAAAGAAAGAATTTTAAGTCCATGTATTACTTAACATCGAAAAGGACGTAGCGCGTTTCGCTTCCAGTCGGACCGCGCCTCCGCGTAAAAGAAGAACGTATTTTTCGCTCTTATCACATGGATATAAAACTTTTTCTGACTTGCTTAATGTGATTCCGTTTCCGAGTTTATTCCCGTCCATCAAGTTATGTGCTGGACCCCATCTTGAATTATTATGAATATCGACAATGAAAATCGTTTTATTAAACTTAAATGTAAAATTTCATTGCGTTTCTTTAATTTTAGACAATTTGTTAATAAAAAAGAGTTGGTCCTTATAATTTACTCTTCCGATTGGCATCATAAAAACATGGAATTTTTTTCACGTTGGTCGGTTCGATTCCCGCATGAGGCAAGTAACTTATAAATATTCTTTGAATGCAGTATTGATTACTTTTAAAAACAAAATAATGTCTCCGAGCAAAATATCCCATCTACAATATTTAAGTAAGTAGCAGTAGAGCGCTTTGTGAAAGAGTTTGTCCCGGGGACGAACTGCCATCTTGCTTATTTCTGCCGCCAAGCGGTAATGTGACCATTACTGTGTTTCGGTTTTGAAGGGTAAGGCTGTTGGTGAAATCACAGGCAGATGGAACTTGTCAACTTATGTCTCAGAGTGAAGGGCGCAGCGGCAATGCCCTTCAGATCTTTGTGGTTTAAAGCTCTGAGTGGCACTGCGACTGTCATGGATAGGCGTGTCGCTTATCACCAGGCCCACGACTTGTTCGTCCCATCATTTAGTATCATAAAAAAATATATAAAGTACTTTCACTCCGTATTACATAGCCGTGTAACAACCTGTGTATTATCAATGTAGTTTAAAAGAAACTGATTTTCATTCCATACATGGACATGAGTCCACGTAATTTTATATACAAAGACCTTTGTAGATAAAATTCAAGGTTTTATTTCAACAAGGCATCTAGTTACAACAAAACTGCATTGAAATCATAAAGAAACTTTAGCTCTCTTTTATTCATTCCACTTTTCTATATTCCACGTCCCACTTCCATTTCCCCTTTAAAATTCCTAACTGCTTCCGTTGTATTCTAACTTTAAATTTGATCAAAATTAGCGAATGCAACTCCGGAATTTGCGGGATTGAAAGTTTCTGGTCCCACGGGATCCTAATATTGGCTGGATCCCGCAGAATGCTGAAAGACTTCGAGAAAAAAGGTCATGTCATCAAACAATTACTATGATTCATAAAACGATTCGTAATTATATTTGCAAATAAAATCCTCGATTTATCTTGGTAAGGCGCACAAGAATGTCAATCGGTACAAATTCTGTCAGTCCTTCTCACGTGTTTATCTAAACTTGTCTTGTTAGCGACGGAAAATGATCAAATGACGCGCAAAACATCTGGAATATTCGATGCGTACTTTCATAAAGCTAGGTAAATCATACCTATACCGTAAAAAATACTTAATAACTCGACGCAAAATATTTAATTTATAGTTAACGTAAAGAATTAAATTGTTAAGAATCTATACAACCTCAAATGGCTTTAGTTGATTCCACATAACAGCGAAAGTGTTGAATCAATCACTTTGAAAAAAAAAAATACATATAATAAAATTGAGGAGATAAACTGATTATTAAACGGCGCGAAAATACGATTCCTATAAATTTTCACGATAGAAAAAAAACCCTAACTTACCTCGAAATTTTACAAGAAAACCGTTGTATTCAATAGGTACTTTACACATCGCACTGTTAATACAATAGTGTATTAACTCAAAAAGTGCACTTTTTCAGAATCGATGAAAAATATATTATGCACCGTGAAAGATTATTAAAATTTATGCATAGGTTAAAGTTTATTACAGACATCTAAACATCTACTCGCCAAATATATAACGGAAAAACCAATTTCATATTTTTAAGTAAGTACTGTTTTGTCCAGAACTAGCTCCCAAAATGTTTAGTTTCATTTTGAGATAAGTGGATATCTTATAATTGTTTCTTACAAGGTTTTATTGACGTGTAGAGAATCAAATTTTACGTTCGGCAATAGCATAATCCTGAGTTTTACACATTTTGAGTTACAACAGTATTGTAATAGCCGTGCGATATATCAATGATGTTTTTATATCAACTGAACTAAATAGAACACGTATCGTAATACACATTTATCAAATGACTTTAATTACGTTTGAAAAACAATCTGAAATAAAACCAGTGTCCCCGCCCCTCGACCCAAGCAAAATGAAACGTATTAGTACGGGAAAATTGGAATTCGATCTCAGCGACTCTTAATTGAAAGAAAAAATAGTTCCCGAATATACAATATGCAAGTATATTTACAAAATCAAAAATGATGGAAAATTTTCTTAGTTAAGTTATTTTCATTATAGCCGAAGCAAAGTGTAGCTAAAAACATTTCCACGTCGTGAATTACCTTCGTTCAAAGTCGAATTTGATTGATTGACTCGGAAATAACGTAGAAAAACTTACCTTTCCGAAGGACTGAGGGCCACAGCGGGCGGACTGCGGCTGCCTGGCTGCAAGGCCTCGTCTGGAGGGCCCGGCTCGCCTCCACTACTGCTTGTTTGCCTTGTCTACATTGAATTAGATATGAATAGTCATCGTTAATAATAATAATACCGCCTCTCCCATTTAAAATTCAAGATTAATCTTTCTTGGGAGAGGCGAGAGTCTAAAATAAATGTAATAATAAGTCTAAAATAGATATAATAAGAGTGATTTATAGATTTTGTTGTCGAAAAGTCGTTAAAACCGCCTCCGTGGCCGAACGGATATAATGCTGGACTGCAACACAGAGGTCCCGGGGTCGATTCCCGAGCCGGGAGAATTATTTCTATTGCCTTCATTTATTTCTCTCGTGAGTTTGGGTGTACTTTGTGGTTCTCTATGTGTGAGTCCATGGCATCCGCGATACAAGGTTTCCCTAGTGCAATGATAAAAAAATCTGCAACAAGTACATAGAAAAATTGGTAAGATCTGCTGGTTCGCTGCGTTGTTCAGTTGAAAGAGTTTTTCTTTGTGTTCGATCTTATTACGACCTTGTTATTAAAACATAGTGATATTCAATAAAAATAATTTTACTTTAATTAATCAATCATCCGCCGCCACCTAACTAAACGCTTATAAAAGCGCTGCAATAGCGCGACTGTGGCTTTCACACAATATCTTCTTTTTTTTTTATAACATAAAGGTACGGGATGAACAAGTCGTGTGCCTGTTGATAATCTACACTCCTGTCCATAGCAGTTGTAGTACCACTCCGGAGCTTTAAATCGCAAAGAACTGAGGCGCAATGCCACTGCGCCCGCCACCCTGAGACATAAGTTGACAAGTTCCATGTGCCTGTAATAGCACCATTACCCTTCAAAACCGGAACACAATAATACTGAAATTACTGCTTAAATATATATACTCAGCCCAGAACCAAATAAAAAATGATTGTTGTTGTTTAAAAAAATGGTTACCTATCAATAGTCCGAAATGACATTTTCCAGAAATAACGTTTGGTCGAAATTTCATAACCTCGAAAGTACTTTTGAGAGGAAAATGTATTTTTCTTTTAAACCTAACTTAACCTAACCTAATCGAACATAATCGTATCTTTGCGATAAACATTCAACATAACCTGAAAGAACAACTGTTTCGTTATAATTCGGTTTTCGGTGTTATGAATATTCGACCAAACGTTGTTTTGGGTAAAAAAATTTTCGGCTTAGTGGTAGGTTACCAAAAAAAATTGCATCCACATTGTTAACCGGTAGGCCACCGAGGTTCTTTTGTGTTAACTCATTATCAGAAGTTGCAAGTATGATGAATTTACTAAAACTCAAAGATTCCAAAAAAATCTCGTTCGTTTTTTTGAACAAATCGTCGGGGATAGTGCAAATTCGCGTATGTATGTATTGGTAAAAAGCGCGTATTTGCACCTAACCTTTTACAGTAGAGGGATTTATCGTTATTACTTTGTTATTTCAATGACTACGACTTTCATTTTTGCACAGTAAGCATTAATTTATGTTGTCTACGGACTGATAATAATAAATTCCACGACATTTACGTGAATTTGATTTGGCCATAAAATTACCGAAATGGTGACTCATAATCAAATGCTAGTTACGCGTAATTGCACTATCCCCGACGAAATACAAGAAATATAATTAGTACTTATCCATGATTATAATAAAGCCACATGTCACACAACTATTATAATAGTGTCGTAACTCAAAATTGTCGAATTGAGAAAACACGATTTGAAAATTTAAAAACCATACGAATGGATTTTATTGCGAATAGTATGATTATTTTTATTTGTACATAATACTTCATTATCCATTTATAAACGAGAATAGATAGATGGATAGAAAATTCTTTATTGTTAGCACCACATACATAAAGAGATTACAGGGCAAAAATTATACACATTAGCAGGGTAACAATTGGCGGTCTTATCGCTTACAGCGATTTGTTCCAGACAACCTTAGGACGGAGAGAGAACAAATATGAATAAAATCAGGGGTGCTAGATATAAACATTTACACATGCATATACATACATACACGACATAACATACAAGTACATAATATATTCCTACATATACTTACAACACATGTTTTAAAAGGAGAAGCAGCCTAGCAATAGTATTTATTGCTAATGTGAAAGGTTGAATACGTACATATATTAGGGGTTAAAGTATGAAATTGCCGTTTTATTGCAATAGGTTC